GCTCAGAAGTTCAAAACCAGCCTGGGCAACATTGCAAGATGCTGTTTCTAGAGAAATAATAAAAAAAACCCAGCCAGGCATGGTGATGAACTCCTACAGTCCCAGCTACGTGGGAGAATGAAGCTGGAGGATCGCTTGAGCACAGAAGGTCGAGGCTGCAGTGAGCCGTGGTTATGCCACTGCACTCCAGCGTGGGTGACAGAGCAAAACACTGTCTCAAAAATAAAATAAAATGAAATAAAAAGAGAAAAAGCCCATGATCATCTACTGCCAAAAAGCAGTCACATTCCTGATCTAAACTGTTTAGTAGGCCAGGAATAGATAATTTCTCTATTCTTTAGATATTGATATAATATTTATATCTCTATTAGATATTCTTTAAAATATCTAATAAACTTAGAGCAAGCATCACACTTAACAGTGAAACACTGAAAGCAGGTCACTAAGGGCAGCAGCAAGACAAAGGCAGGATGCCAGATGTCCTTACAATGTCACAGTGTAGCATAAGTTGTCACCAATGCAATAAAACAAGCAAGAGAAATAAGTATACATGATGGAAAGGAAAAGATAAGTGTCATTAATTGTGGACAATGTGATTATCTATCTGGAACAGCTAAGATGTTCACCTGAAAGACTACTAGAACTGAGAAGATAATCCCTTAGGGAACTAAGTTATAAGACGTAAATGTGAAATCAACAATTTCTATACACCGGCAAAAAGCAATTAGAACATGCAATAAATAAAATCTTATCAACACAATGTAAAAGATAATTAAAAATTACTTGACAAAAAGTATAAGAGCTCTGAACAAAAATCCATAAAACTTCACTGAAAGTAAATAAATGGGAATAAGTACCACATTCTTGACAGGAAAGGCTTAATATTATAGAGATACAAATTATTCTCAAGTAGAAACATACATTTGATGCAATTCCAGTCAAAACTTAAAGACTTTTCTGCAACTTAAGCAGGTTTTAACAAATCATTTATGTGAAGGACTGAGAAAAGCCAAAAAACTTTTAGAAAATGATATAATCATCAACAAAATCCACGATGGTGAACACCATCCATCAGATAGCAACATATATTCTAAAGTTATTATAATTAAAATAAAATAGTATTTGCACAGGAATAGGGCTTCTAGATCAATGGAACAAAATAGAAAGTAAACAAACTGGCTCACAGAAATAAAAGGAGGTTAAAATATACTAAAGGGGCATCTGAAACCATCAGATAAATGATAGATTATTTAGTAATAATTTGGTGACAAATGCTTAATTTGAAGGTTAGATCTTATCCCCCATCACCCAGAAAGGCAAAGTACATATGGTCTACAGGGTTAAATTGAAAATAGAAAGCTACAAAGGATTAGGAAAAAATGGGAAAACAGTCCTTATAACCTTGCAAATTTAAAGCCTTTTAAAGGCACCAAATACAACAATAATAAAGGAAACAACTGATAACAAAAAATAATTGATAAATTATTATCAACAAAAAATTTTGTATGTAAAATATACTTAAGGCAAAAATGACAGACAAGAGAATGGTTTCACGTGTAACCATCGAAGAACTAAAATCTATTATATAATTAGAAAATAAAACTAATTTCTAAAAATCAAGAAAAAGACAAATAGTCCAATAAAATATAAGATGAAAACATAAATGTAAATTGCGTATCAAGGCCAGTGGGATGCATGAAAGAAGAGTGCAAGTAGCTTTAAACACAGGAAAAATGCTCAATTTCAGTAGCAATTATAAAAATGTTAGTCAAAGAGAATGTTTTTTGCCTTCACATAAAATTGGCAAAAATTTAGCAGACTGACAACACTATTGTTGACAACATGAGAGAACATGCTCACACACTGCTATGGCTATGTAAATTGCTAGGAAGTTTTGGACACTGGTGAAATCTTAATTTGCAAGTCTATTTTAAAACTAAAGACCCATATACTCCTCTAGTCAGCAGTTCCACTTCTTGTACTTGTATAAAGAGGTTTGTGTTTCGATATTCTCTGCGGTATCGTTTATAAAATCAAAACATTGGAAAACTCTTTAAATATCCTATTCTCTGTGGTATTGTTTGTAAAATCAAGAAACTGAAAAAGTCTTTAAATACCCAGCATTATGGAACAGTGGTGAACCAAGGCGGTCAAGGAGTTGGGTGTTGGCAGCCACTGACCCAGGCGGGAAGAATATGTTATCACTAGCATTGCTTAGAATTGTATGGATATGATGCAAGGTGAAAATAAGACCGACTTTTATTTGATCTGATATTGTTTAAACTTCTCTCCAGACAATGCATCCCTTATTGCACACCCGGATAGACTTCCTCAACCCCCACAGTCCCCCTTTGATACACCATTCTGATGAAATATTTTGGAGGCTGAATGCCTAGGTCTGTGTGCCTTGTTACCTTGGGTCCTGGGGGTTTTGGATATGCACTGTGGAAAAAAAAGTACCCACTTGTTACTATTGCACCTTCAGTTCTTATTGTTTCAAAAAGTTCCAGGAAAAAGCTCAGTCCAGGAAAAAACAAAAACTGGTTGGATCCAGAGATGCTGGGGCTGGAGATGAACTTTGGTGAACTTTCCTCCCAGGGAGGAGCTTATTCCTCATTTTCTATACAGGCTACTATGTAGAAGCATGATGGGCAACAGCACCAGTGCTACTTTTACTCCACTTCTGTACACAAGGACTCAGCTAACCAGCCCAAGAAAAGCTCCTTTAACACCATTGTTCAGGAGGGTGCTGCTTTGAGGAGCTATCCCCACTGTCCTCCTTATTTGTTGCAGGCAATAAAATTCCCTCCTTAAAACCTCCTTGGTTGTGGTCATTGGACTGTTTTTGAACTCACTTGTTGTGGGTAAGTCGGTGATGCCTCAGTGACACCTCTCTCACTGTTAGGAGAAAGCAGTAGAAGCACAGGGATGGCATGTTGCCAATTTTGCTAAAACACAGACGCAGTCACTGAACTGTATTTCTAAATGTACTTTCTGTATGAATGCACAAGATTTGCATGGATTCACACCCAATGCACTTGTAGTCATTTTGGTGGAGATGACAGGGATTTAGGGTTGTGGTCAAGGGGAACTGCATCTGTATATGTTAATTTTTTAAATATATTATACTATATTCATTTGTTTTTATTCATGTATTTATGTAATTAAAAAGTAAGTACATAATTTAAATGCATAATTTTGGAGAAGAAAACTGCCCTAGTAAATGAAATTGAAGGGAGAATTAGAAAGGTGAGGGCCTGGTGTAGTGACTCACGCCTGTAATCCCAACACTTTAAGAGGCTGAGATGGAAAGATTGCTTGGGCCCAAGAGCCTGCATTAAAAAAATCATAATAATTAACAATAAAAAACACATCAGGGTTTTGATGTCTCAGGAATTGCAGCACCATCCCCACCTAGTGGAGAGGAGTGGATACTGCCATTAGCTCAAGGGCACTCCCCAGGAGGCAGGGGCAGTGCCTTTTCTCTATCAATGCCTTGCAAAGATTAGCACTAGAAGACCAATTTCAAGCCACTTCAGAATAAACAGAAAGCTTCAGGTATCTAGTTGAGGTGGAGATGTGGCATTTTACGCCTGCAAATGAATCATGCAGACAAACCCTCAAGAACGTCCCTTGAGGCGAGTCATTCCACGTTTCTGGACAACAGTGTCCACTTGAGCTAGACAGTAATGATTCACCCTTGAACCAAACCTTTTATGAAAAAAGCCAAATATTCTATGATCATAACAACCCCATGAGATAGCTTTTTAATGATCTTGTTTTACAGAGGAGAAAATGAAGGCTTGGACTAAATAAAAGACCTTGCTAGGCAATATGTTAGCAGGTCAGTCAGGAGTGATGCCACATTCTGTGACTTGAGGACCTGAGTCCACATTTATCTTCATGGGGGCCTCAGGACCAGGGATGTGTCTGAGGCATTCATAGAACATCTTGTAGAAGACACTGGTGAAATCTTGGTCCATATCTTTGGACCTGCATGAGTTGTCTGCAGCCACAGGGGACAGTTTCTGGCCAAACTAAGGGTACAGGGCATGGCAAATGGGCTCCGCACAGTGTGGTATTGGGTTGACAGTGATGTGCAGTCTTCACCTGAAGAGGTGGGGAAAGGGCAAGGGCACAGCACAATCAAAGGCACAGGGCTGGGAATGAGCAGGGTGTATTTAGAGAATATAAAGTTAGTCTTGTTGGGAGCCCACGAATTATTTGAAATTGTAAGCAAAACCATTTGTGTGTGTGTGTGTGTGTGTGTGTACACAAGTGCATTTGTAAAGGGATTGAATTCATGGCTTTGGTCACATTTTTCATGAACTAAACCATGTGGCAGAACCACCAAGGATCCAGAGAAGGGGTCTGCTGTGGACTAAAGAATCACAGAACATTGAAATAATGTTTACTGAGCCCTAGTGTCACCACTCAGACAGAGCTTAGCTCTTTATAAATGTTTCTTTCACTTGTCACGAACATCCTTTGAGGTGGGTTCTAATACCATCTTCATTTACAGATGAGGAAACTGAGAACTAGAGAGATGCCTTGCCCTAGGCCACACAGTTGGATCTGAACCCAAGCAGCCTGACTCTGGATCCCTCACCCTACACCTAAGGCTGGTGGCGTCAAACTTGAGTGCACGGTACAGTGAACAGCAGGCCTTATTCTAACAGACACAGCTAGGCCCCATGCCCAGGATCTCCAATTCTGCAGGTTTCTAATGAGTTTCCTGGTGGTGCTGATGCTGCTGGTCTGGGGGCCACACTTCACAAACCACACTTTGAATTCTAGGCTGTCATCTCCCAAGAGGACTTGGAGTCCCAAAGAGTTGATGTGACCTGTCTGGAGTCACTCAGCTACTTAGCAGCAAAACCAAGATGAGAATCTGGGTCTGTGGATTCCAAACCCAGGACTCTCTATGCCACTCGTGCTTGGAGGAGGGCACTTCCTACCTAAAGAGTGTGTGTGCATTTGCACGCATGCATTTCTATTACCTGACGTGTGTCCAGATCCCGGTGCTGGGCGCTGGGGGAGGATGGCTCTTTGCTCGGCTCTTCTGAGCCCAGTCGGGCTCTTCTCCACCTCCTGGCCCGCCGGTCTGTGGTGTGGGGGGCCTCCTCTGGCTCGCTGCTATCTGAGGTCTCCCTGCTAGCCGCCTGGGGGTTGAAGTTGACATCCAGTTCTCCCTGTAGGCGCATCTTCTCTGCTGCAGGGTTCCTGGGGGCCTTCCTCTGTAACCAGGACAGTCTGGCCTGGTGCCCAACTTCTCGGGAAGATCCCGCAGAGGAGGTCTCCGAGTCAGAGCACATGGCCTCAGGGTTGGGGGAGATTGCAGAGATTGGGGAGGCAGCCATGAGGCCTTGGTCAGAGCTCTGGGCCTGTGTGGGCTGAGGCTGGGGGTCCCTGGGCAGGCCCCGGGGCCTGGGACACAGCTTGCTCAAGGCCTCACTCCAGTCAAAGTCTTCCTCGCTGTCGGAGCCCATCTCATCATAGGCAGATGCCACACTGGAGGCCACCTCCAGGGCCTGAAATGTCCCGCTCTTAGGCTTGGCCAGTAGGCGGGTTAGGGGTGGAGCACCATCCTTCAGGGCCACCCAGTTCCCGTCGGAGCTCTGCAAAACTGGTGCCAGGTCTGTGGGTGGAGAGATAGAGAAAGCAGAGAGGGGCTGTTATCACTTTAATGCAAGGTGAGGCTGCCACTTGTCACGTCCCCGAGTGGCTCGTGGGGGTGTTAGAGGGCAGCTGCCTTTAGGAAGCCCAGAAGGGCAAACCCAATTGGTGGGCAGAGTTCAAAGGTCCCCACGGAATCCCCTGAAAGCTCACAGGGTCCCAGTGCTTCACAGAAGGAGAGAAACTCAGAGATCTGGCTCCCGTTTCAGTCCACCTGGGCTGATGTCACCTCAGTCTTCTCAGCACGGCCCTGTTCCTGCCCTGGGCTCACTTGGAAGGGGAGGGGACAGGGCTACAGGTGGAAGCACGAGCTTCTGGCTCTTTGACCTAGGGCTACAATTTTGTCTCTTGGATCCTCAGTTTCCCCTCACTGATAGGAAACAATCCCACTGCCTGCCCTGGCATACCGCAGAGGTTAACGCATCTGCTCTCGGTACTTTTATAGATCCTGCTTCATAACAGGCTCCTGAGATAGGCATATAGGTCTATTTTTAACTCAAGGAACATGCCTCACTCTGGAAAGTGCTTGAGGTCAAAAAGCTTTAGTATTTCCAATCTCATTTTACAGATGAGGAAATGGTGAGCGAAGTTAAGTGACTTGGCAAAGGTCACAGAGCTGCTAACTTGTAGAGTGAGTTCGAGGTGCATCCTCTACCTGACTCTGAGGCAGCTCTGGGCTACTGACTGTGCCACAGAAGCCTTCGGCCAGCCGTAGGCACCATGCAAGGGCAGCCGGAGCAGCTCTCAGGCCGTGACTATGGTCTGGAGTGGTCTAAACTGGGCTCAGGTCTGCCAAGAGCATGTTCCCAAGGATTGATCTCCATGCCGAGGGTGGATGGGTAAAAAATGGTTGTCTTGTTTAAGGAGAACAGGAAAATGCTTTCTTCCCAAGTGTCTGTGGGGTGGGAATAAGATGACATGCTGCTCCTTTAGCTATGGGTACTTGGCCCAGGACTGAGGCCTCAGGCGCAGCAGTTGCCAGCAGGAGCTATCATTTTTTTTTTTTTTTTTCAACCAGGACTGTTGCAGCGCTGCCTGGGGGCAGTGATGAGGACCTCTGGGCTTTGAAGAAACCACTCCCCAAGTTGGTGTGGACATCTGCTTCGGGGCTGAAGGCCTGCAGCAGCTAAAGCTCTGCAGCAGTAGGACCTTGAGGCAGAGTCCTCCTTCATGCTATTTAAAACACACAGCTTTTCTACCAGTTAAACTGCCACTGCTCCACATAATGAAATGAAAGCTATCAGTATTTCACAGTGCTGCCCACAGAGCATTGTACCTGCTAAGCCTGTTTCAGAACCACAGCCTTGGGGGAATTCAGATGTTGGTGGAACATATGTTTTCAACAGCGACCCAGTTCCACTTCCACTGCCTGACTGCAGCTCAGACTGGCAGGACATCGAGTTCTTTTTATTTTGAGAGTCAGGAAGTGGGGCTCTCTCTTATGAGGAGGATGCTGGGCCCCGGCAGTGGGCTGACGTAAGCAGTGGCCTCCAAGAAGCCTGAGACCACGCACTGGCCTTTCTCCTGCTGCTCCTGCCTTCAGTGTCCCCCTCCACCATTTGCATGTAGTGAAGCCCTAGCAAACCTACAACACTTCATCTCACTGGTGAGAATGGCCTTTTCCTGGAGTGTATTCTCATCTCCCTGCTGGACATGGCCTCTCCTCTCTGAGCTCTCCTGGTATGAGGGCCTGGCTGGCTCATTCCATGTTCCTCCATGTGTTCTGGCTGTCACACACCTGCTGAGCATGAGGACAAGGTCCCTGAGGCAGGGCCTGGATCTCAGGCATCTCTTCATCCTTAGAGGAAATTAGCCTGCTCTGTCCCAGAGCCAGGTTTTGGAAAGACCAGTGGCCTCTAAGTCAGTTGAGAGGAAGCCCTACTCAGTCACCAGGCAGCGATGTGATCCTGTGTGCCTCGGTTCTCTGACTGGTGAAAAGGATATAGCTAATATCTTAATGGGTTGTCAGAGGACTGCACGAGGGGATGCTCATGAGTGTGTTACACATGCCTGCTCAGAAAGAGGATTAATTCCTGATGGCTTCTTTCCCCTTCTCTATAAATGAAGGAAGCTGCTTTAGTGTAGGGCAAAGAATAGCTTTGGATTCAAGCAGGTGCAGGGCTGATCCTCAGCCACTGCATTTACTAGTAGGTGACCCTGGTTAGAGAGCACCTCGGCTCTACTTTCTTGCCCAACAGTAGGGTCAGTGTGACCCACCTTTGGCTGTCATTAGGATTATTTTGAGATAACACATGCAAAGCATCAATCATAGTGCCTGCTATACTTAGGGCCCTGAGCTATTTTTATTTTATATCTGTTTAATTGGATTTAGCGTTAGTACTTAACACCTGGTTATGAATTAACACCCATGCACTCCATATGTATGTATACAGAAAAGAGATACGTATCTGATAGGCACTATTCAGTATTACATATTAATAACTATACAGTAACACTATTTTCATTGGCAATGGAGTTATTCAGAAGAGTGGCTTACTAGGGTTATTATTACCATTTATTATTGGGCTCTACTTGTGGTGTTGGTAACAGCAGGTCTCTTGAGAAAAGTATTTCTGTTTGCCGGCATTCTCCTAATGCTGTGTCTGGAGAGTGTCAGTCAGGGTAAGGGTTCCTCAGGAATGCTAATGAGGCTGTGTGGGACTAGTAAGTAGTTATATTGAATTTTCCTGTAGCAGGCTCTGTGGGTGCCCTACCCTAAACCTTGGCCCTCACCACTTCAGTGTATGCCAGCTGGACTTCCAATTGCCAGCCCTTGCAAGTCTTCACTTGAGGCTTGCTCAGGCGACTGGAGCCTGTGTTGCCTGCCCCAGGGGCAGGGTGGAAGTACCCAGGATTCATCACCTCCTGGGAGCAGCCCTCAGCCAGTGAGTAGGCGAGCTGGTGGCTAAACATCCCAGCTCTCTTGCCTGTTAGGCAGGTGAGTCTTCTACACTGGCTCCCAGGGTCCCCAGTGGGGTCAAGCTCCGGCCACCCACAGTGGCCATCTGCTTAGTAACAAGTCATTTATTGCCTGATTTTCTTTCCTTGTCTCACGTTTCTCCTCCTTTCTGTGTGTTTTCTGGGCTCACCTCCCAAATAAACTACAGGTCTTCAGATTCTTATATGAGGATATTAGGGTCTGCTTCTGGTGGAAGTCAAACCAAAATACCCACATGATGCAAAGCGGACTCCGAGCATGGCTGTTGAGTGCTCATTCTGAGAAGAAAGGCAAAGTCCTCTGGGCCTTCTAATCTGTCACTGAGGCTGCTCTCTGGACTGTCTTCAAGACAACTCACACGTTGCTCGTCAGTTGCCTGTGCTTGGACTTCCTTCCTCAAGGAGCTGGCTATTCTGCTCTCTGAGCTTTGCCAACATCTTTTATTGCTTAACACTCAAACTATATGATAGTTTATTTTCTCAGTTGTCTACCCCACCCCTCAATCCTGACCATCAGCTCCTGGAGGGCAGAGCCAAGTCTTCTTCACTGCTAGCCCCTGGCCAGCTTTGTGTCCCATCCTGGGAACATGAAGACTACTTGTTAATGAAAACAGGCACTAAAGGCTGCAGGGACGATGGGGCTCCCGATGTGCAGCTCTCAATGAGCACTGCTGTCTACAGCTTCTCCTGGGGCCCTTGGAAGAATCCAAAGAAGGAAATCCCTTGATAATGCCACTCAGCACCCAGCTCCAGGGTTGACCCTGTTGTAAATGTGGTCCCTGGGCTCTAGCACCCACCATATTTGGAGATGGAATTCAGCCCATTGCCAGCTCCCTTTCTCCTGTGTTTTACAACCCCAGGTTGCCTTGTGCCTCTGTGGAAGCTAGACATTGGCCAACTTTTACCTCTGCAAAAATTCAGTCTTCTTAGCAAAAACACAGATGGCTCCCTGAATACCCAACCGTGTGGAAACTTCGGTGGTTGTTGATCTCCATCATCAAAGCTGCACCTGCGCTCCAATACCACAGTCTCTCAGTCCATCAGGAACACCCCTTGGGGATCTTGCTCCCCCACCCTCTCCTTTCTCCAAATTCCTGCTCTTCCGTTATCGTGCAGACAACTAACGTTCAGTGGTGGCCCCAGAGCAGTGACAATTCCCCAATCTTTATTTCCCCAACACTGAGCACATGCAGTGTATACAGTAGATGCTCAATCAAGGTTTACAAAGTGAAAATGCATTTGGGAGAAACCCATTAACTGCTATAGGCACTCTCAAGACTGAAAGCAGAGTTACTATGGTTTACCCAAACCAGTGTCCCTAAGACTAACCCCAGCTGTGCACTAGCAGGCTCCTGAATCAACCCTTCTTCAGAGGCATAAACACAGCTGCTACATATAGCCCAGTGGGCATTCACTTTCTAAGATGACCTCCACCCCCGGGACTCTTCTGTTTGACGTTCCTGCTCAACTGAGACTGAGCAATGCCTGTAGGAATAATCTGCTTCCTGCTAAATGTTTCAGACATCCCTCAAGACCTCTGAGGCTGGCATGGACAGTTTGGCATGTCAAGGGCTAAAAATTCTTCAGAAAAACCAGAAGTTTTCCACCCAAGTCCTTTTTCAAAAAATTTAAATCTTCATCCTGAGAGAGCATGGATTTTTGAGCAGAATGTAAAGTCTTTTTTTGGGTGTGTCATGCTGTGGAACTAAGTTTTATGTTTATATACAACTGAAAAATTACCTATGAGTGCCTAATTTTACAGAAGATTATGTACAAAATCATGTTTTGAAAACAAAATTCCTTTGCAAATTTATTATGAATGTTCATAATCCAGTTGGAAACTATTTTGTGAAATACAGCATCTTGTAGTAGTTGTTTGTATAATATTCTACACATTTATCACTTTGCAAGTCTGGATTTTGAAATGATAGTTTTTGTTTATTTGTATGGTAGAGAGACACTTAAAATGCAAGAGTTGAAAGCCTGCAAATTGGAGTCTTGATGTTTGGATTTAAGGACCAGCTTTGCTTACATTGGCTGTGGGGTCTTGAACAAGTCACTTAACTTCACTGTCCATCAATATTCTTACCTGCAAAACCAAATAATGACTGTGTCTAGCAATGCTGTTGGAGGAAAAATAAAATAGTGCCTACATATGGAATCTGTATGTTTTAAAGTGATTTTAAAAAGCTAGGTATTGTGTATTGAAGTTCTATTATGTGGTATTCTCATGTGCTCTGTGGAATCTAACAGTCCCATCTCTGTGTGCAATCCATAGAGAAGGAAAGCGAAGTGAGAAAACGAGGGAGAAGACAGAGAGCGAGCGAGAATATGAATTAATGAATGAATGTGAATATGAATAGACTGGGAGGGTGGAGGGAGGAAAGAAAGACATATCTAGAAAGAAAAATGCACTTAAAACCCCCAAACAAACACCATATACACAAGTAAAGAAACGTGTATGTGCTGCAGAATTTCTGCAAAGTCATGGCCCTGCAGGTTCTATTGATAGGTACTAAAAGGTTAATATAATCTCTTTTGGTAAATCTTTAGAATGACAGTTAAAAGATATTTAATGTTTTCTAATACTTTGCACTGTGATAACAATGGGTTTTGTTTCTCTAATCGTTGGTTAAATCTTTTCCCTTTTACAGTAGAAATAATAGCAGAATCTTTAAAAGCTTATTACTAGGAAGGCTAAGCTGCTGTTAATCTTTTCTGTTGTTCAGGAAAGGGGTGTAGATATGATATGCCATGGGATGAGAATACTGTTTATGGTTTCTTCATGTGAAGACAACTATGCCTGGCCTCCCTTCACAGTGTGTGTATGCAGGACACAGGAAGAGAGGACTAGACCGGTGCAGGGGTTGGGGGAGGATTTATTCTGACATTCGTGTAGACCAAGAGGCCCCCTGAGCACTGGGGTTTCATGGCCCTCAGCTGTCACCTGTGGTGATGGGTCCAAGCATCTCAGGGTCTTCCGATGTGAGACTTTAGGAAAATGAGTGAGTTCATTTGAGCCCCTTCATTTTAAGGGATTACGTGAGTCAACAGCTTTATAAAGGACCACATGTCAAAAAGGCTCACACGTTGAAGAGTCTCTAAAGAGGCAGCTGACTTGCCCCACATAGAGGCAGGACATTCTATGGGGAGGAAGCAGCAAGAGCAGAGGTGCCAGCGAACAGCAGTGCCATCCTCAGGATGTCCCTCAGCCAGGGATGTACAACTGCCCACCAAAGACTCTTTCATGGCCCAACCGTGTTACTGGTATGCATCTTCCCAGCCAGGATGCCATTTCTCAGGGCCTCCTGCATTGAGGTGGGGCCATACGACGAGTTCCTGTCCAAAGGCTGGGAGTGAAAGTGGTGGGAGCCCTCCCTGCTGAGATGGCTAAGAAGCAGGTGCCTGTCTTTTCCATTCTGCCTTCCTTCGTCTGCTGTCTGAATGTGGATAAGCCCACAAAAGACTCAGAGGCCCTGGAGGATGACAGAGCCACAAGGTGGAACCTTGTACCTTGGCCTCTGAAGGCCTTCCACCAGCCAGGGGTGCTTGTACTGCACTGTGGTATGATGAAAAAGAAAATAATTGCATTAAGCCGCTTACATATTCAGTTTACTTGCTTTAGTGCATATGCCACCCTAACTAACTTACAGTTTCAGAAAGGACATCCATAAAACCAGACCTATGCTAGGACCCAAATTCCTTTGAAAGCTGAAATGCCATGAGAGGTTGGTTTAATGCTCCTGGCCTACATAAGACACATTCTCCTAGTCCACAGAGAACAGGCACCTGAAGTGGGGTGTGCAGTAGAGTGATTTGAACATACTTGTCCAGGAGCCTCCCACCCCCCTCCCATAGGTCTCATCACAGACCATAGAATATGATGACACCCTAAGAGCCTTCATTTTGCCAGAGCAGCTAAGAAAACTGCCTGGGTGGAGAACATAATCACAGTATATACACTGTGTGTTGTGCTGGAGGCCTCATGACTTGGTGGCCCAGAGAGACACACGCCAGTTCAGACTTATGGGAAGAAGAGCTGAGTGGCCATGCAATAGCTGAGAAGCCTCCAAACCACACTACTGAAACCCACAGACCAACCAGATGCTACTTAAAACAGTTACTTGTTTCATCCAGTCTGTCCACGCTCTTCCAGCTGGGCAGAGCAGACTCAGCTCTCGGATGCTGGCCTTGGTCCCTTGGCTGCCTTGGTGCAGCCTCCACTGGAGGGGTCTTCAGGGCATCTTCTCCAGTGACTGAGAAGGCAGATTGGGACCGCTGTGGAAAGAAAAGGGAGGAAGGAATGAGCTCATAAGGAACAGTACCTGGGAGGTGTGCCTTCAGCTTTTGGGGGCAGACACTGTACAGTATGGAGAAAACATGTTTAATGGTAATGGGTCTTCTGGTGTGAGCCTTAAAAACTGCAAATCAGAATATAATGCCATGTAATGGCACAAATGTTTATCCCCTTGTGAGTCAGCCAGGCCTAGCAGACAGAATGAGATGTAGTGGAATCTTATGGGGCCAGCTCTCGTATGGTTCTTCCTTATCCACTACTTTTGTGGCCAATATTTCTCAGGGCCAACTTTGCGTGATGAGTTGCTCTAGGGCATGTAAAATGGAAAGCATCTTCTCCTCAAAGACCTCCAAACCTGAAGAGTTCTCACAGCGTTGATACAGTTATAGCACAATGTACATGCTATAATAGAGAAGTGAGCTAGGTATGATCTGTCCACAACAAAGGACTACTGCAACATATTCTCATGTAGTCCCTGAATTAAAGGACAAAAAACAAACTCTAACCTAAGAAAAAGTGGCAGAAATGGAAATTCAAATGACTGACAGGAACACATTTGAACTGCATTATATATATATATTATATATATATATACACATTATATCTATGCATCATATACATATATACATTATATACATGCATTATATATATATATATGTTGTATTGTGAAGCTCAAATGTTGTATAGAGAATTTTATCAAACAGAAAGAGACAAGTTTTCCTTTGCCATTTAATGAAGGAATTATATTTTACTGGTTATTTATTTTGTTCTTTTTACATTAGTAATCTTAGAAGGGAAAGGGCATACTCACAAAGCTACCAAAAGCATCTGTGATCACAGTGTTAAACAATGTCCTGATCTGAAACTCAGGCCCCTTTGCAGTGGGCTTCCACCTGCTGGCTGATGTCAGCACCAGCAGACCCCACTCCCTCCTGTCCCAGTGCAAAACGTGCTCATTTCCTCACTTTCTCTTTCCCTCAGGCACCTAGGCAAGCTCTCTAGAGAAGGCAAGCTCTCTCAGAGAAGAGCTGTGGGCAGGGCCATGGGGTGCTGTGGAGCTGGACCCCGGGGTCAGCTGTGTCCAGGCTCCCTGGCCACCCTGGACAGGGCCGTGGGGTGCTGTGGAGCTGGACCCCGGGGTCAGCTGTGTCCGGGCTCCCTGGCCACCCTGGGCAGGGCAGTGGGGTGCTTTGGAGCTGGACCCCAGGGTCAGCTGTGCCTGGGCTCCCTGACCACCTTGGCTATACTACCTTGGCCAAGTGACTGAATTCCTAGAGAGATGTGGAAACTTAGCCTTGCCCTGCACTCACAGTAAACTGTATGATAAATGGTAGCTTAAAAAAAAAGGTATGAGAGAATAACAAAGAAAGACAGCAGAAATGAGCACAGGACACTTGGGTGGCAAGACTGAGCTTTAAGATGAGGGGTTGGGAAGAGGAAGATGCCCTCAGTGGGCTTGCCTCCCAAGCACTCTGAACCAGTCTAAGGAAAGACAGAGACTGAGGAGGATCAAAACCCAGCATCCCATTGTAACAGGCCAGGCTAGGGCCCAGGAGCCCTCACATACAGGCGTCTGGTACACTCTGTTGGAGAATGGTGGTGCAGACCAGTTAAGATTCAGAAAGCATCACAGGAAACCTCTACTTCCCCCAGGAGACCTTGGGGTTATCCAGGAGGAAGGTGGGCTTACAGAACAAATATGGAACCCCCAAAGCTGTGAACCAAGTGTTAACAACCTGCTTCTATCCCTTCAAATATAGAGGATAGAGCGTGATGGGCCTCCAGACCTGCCTTTTGATGCAATGGTCATAGGTTAATGCAAACAGTGGTGATGAGCTCTCCCCATCTTATCAATTTCTCAAGACACTGTGTGTTGGTAAGGTTTCCCACCCATAGCTTCCGTTTGTCAGATATTCAAGCAGGCCATGGCCTGTGGGAAATCTACCAACTGCCCCCTTCTCCAGGCTGGGCTGGGGGTCCTGGGCTTCTTCTACGCTTACATTTTACTGCATTCTTGCAAACGTCTCTTTTCTGAGCTGGGCCCCCCACTAGACGGTGGAGCAACTAAGGGCAATTTGTTTCAGCAGTGACATCTGTAGCCCCTGGCACAGTCACTAGTATAGACTTGGAAATCATGAACGTTTGCTGTTGAGTGAATGGTTACAAAATGGGTTTTCAGAGTGCCTATGTTTTTTTCCAACTTCTTAGACAAAAATTGGAAAGTAAGAGAAAGAAATAAAAAGGAGCTCACTATCATCTACACTTACATCCTGGAGAGCAACATTTTACTTAGAGGAGAGCCAAGCCAACACACGTGTGAAGTGACTTTCGGCTCAGTGTCACCTCCCTCATTGTGAGGGCACAGCAAGCACGGACGCTATCCCGAGTGTTCAGAGCCATTTGGATGACGCAGGTTGATGACACTGAAGGTTTTCACAGGGCTAGGTATTCAGAGCCATTCTGCGATTTTGCTAAATATCGGACAGAAAACGAGCAGCTTTCAGAGAGGACAGAGTTTGAGGATGGTGGTCAACTGGCAAGTGAAGTTATTAAAAGTGAAGGAAAACATCATTTTATGGCAAACCTGCATGTATCAAGAGGGACACACCCTTGGCACTGCTGTACCTGGGGCTTGGCAAGGCCTCCCCTCCAGTGTGGTCACACAGCTCTGCCTACAGATGTGCACTGACTTGCTGTGTCTTCCACACAGTGAACTCCATGAGGGCACGGATGGCCTTTTGTGTGTGAGCCTGGTTTTTAGGCTGTGAGACACAGTGCTGGCCCTTATGAAGCTGACAGCCTCATTGCCAGATGCAGTATTATTGCAGCCTCATAGAAGCCATTTACTGTTATGGCCTTTAAAAAAATATCTACAAGCAGGCCGGGCGCGGTGGCTCAAGCCTGTAATCCCAGCACTTTGGGAGGCCGAGGCGGGTGGATCACGAGGTCAACAGATCGAGACCATCCTGGTCAACATGGTGAAACACCGTCTCTACTAAAACTACAAAAAATTAGCTGGGCATGGTGGCGTGTGCCTGTAATCCCAGCTACTCAGAAGGCTGAGGCAGGAGAATTGCCTGAACCCAGGAGGCGGAGGTTGCGGTGAGCGAAGATCACGCCATTGCACTCCAGCCTGGGTAACAAGAGCGAAACTCTGTCTCAAAAAAAAAAAAAAAAAAAATCTACAAGCTTCTCATTGGAAATCACTGAATATAAGTGTAAAAAGGAGAAACAATATTTAATATTTAATTTTGCAGTGGCTTAGATTTGTGTGTATATGTGGTGGCTGGGGTCCATTTTTTATGGGATGAAAATTCTCCCCCATTCCTTCCCTACAAAAGCCAAGACTAACAAATGAAAAGTCCCTCTCTGGTCCCAATAGCAGAGAGCAGGGGATGCCAGGCTATAAAAAGACTCTATTTCAGGCAAATCGTTGTTCCACACTAGAAAAAAACTACACCCTGACAATCACAAAATGCCCAACAGCACTGTCTCCAGCAGGCCCCAAGACACTGGTGGCCTGCAGTCTCCAGGGTGGAAAAGACAGTTCTGAGACCCAGGCGTGGTTCTGCCATAAATTCATTACAAGCAACACGTGCCCAGCAGAGGGCACCAGAACAATGCCTTTATTCCCCAGCTAGTTCTACTTCAGCCTCTGGCTGAACTCGTTGGTGAGTAATGTATTTGCTTATTACACTGGCTTATAACCCTGGCGGAGCCCTCTGTGCCCACTTTTCTTTCCTACCCACAACCTCTGCTTGTCTGACTTATCCTAGGGTACACAGAAGATGCAGGGGTGGTGACTGGAAGGGCTGGTCTGAGTTACAGTGTCTGAACATCTGTGCAATGCTGCAGGGGGGGTCCATAGATTCAGGAATGTTAGCACATCAGCAATCCTTGCATTGATGAACTAGAGAATTTGAGCTTTCAGACAGGCCCTTCCTCTTTATTCCTTGGGCACTAACTTATGGGTGATACATTAAGTAGTGGGTAATACCAGCTACTCCTCTTGCTATGTGGGACCTTGGAGAAACTTCAAGTGTTCTAAACCTCAGCTTCCTCATGTTAAGGGATCAGTATCATGTATAGCACAGAGAAAGCACTCAATAAATATCAGCCTAATAAGAGCATTTATTAAATGTTGCCACTGAGCTGGTGTGACATATCTATTCTCTCACTCAATTTGACTAAGTGCACATCAGTAAACCGAGTCAGGGTGGAAGAACTTGTCCAAAGCATATGGATGGCCAAGGGTAAGGCAAGTGTTTAGCTTGGGTCTGTCAGATTCCACGTCGATGCTCCTCCATGCTCTCTTGGTGTGTGCCTGACAGCCTTTGCTGCAAGCCTGGGAACAATGCACTTGTAGTTAATGTGCCCAAGCAGGACTTGCCATCTGAACCAAGTGGTCCTGAACCTCTGGGCAAAACAGCCAGTGTGATCATCGGTTACTTTTGTTACACCTTCCTTTGCAGTAGCTGCATCTCCTTTGTGGGCTGCAGCAACGTGTTCTACTTATATCCCTTGGAACCATAGATTGCTGCCATGATTGCTACGATTATCATCATCACCAACAGGACAGGCTCCCTGTGGCACCAACCGCAGCTTTAAAATAGTCTTTGCTCTCAAAGAGCCCACAGTAAAAAACAGGGAGAGAATGTTTTTAGTATCAAAGATTTGAGGGCAAATCAAGAAGAGTGGTCACATGCATACATAATGGAAACACGGCTTTGCTTTGTGTTTTTAGGGTCAGACATAAGTACTAAAGTAAATCCGATAATTATAGCAATGAAAAAATACACTTTAGTTCTATATGATGGCCATTCAAAAGAGAGAGGGGGGATGTGAGGAAGGAAATGAGAGACAAAGGCTGAGAAAATAGGAAGGGACAAAAGACAGAATAACAGAGAAAGCCAAACAGAGATTCATCTTAGTCACTGGGCATACGGTAAGCATTTGGTCCCCGGTATCATCATCATTATTG